TAGATAGATAGATAGATAGATAGATAGATAGATAGATAGATAGATAGATAGATAGATAGATAGATAGATAGATAGATAGATAGATAGATAGCAAAGTTTCATATTAAAGGAGATTTTCAAATGTTAACATAGGCCTATACAGGCTCATAAAGATTACATGCTACATGATTACAAGCTAAAGAGTAGCAAATAAACATGCTAATGTTAGCATACCGACATCGTATTGTATATGCCCGCGGTCCCCAACCCGTGAGTTGTTTGGTACCGGGCCGTGAGAGTTGAGGCTCAGGTGTGAAATTTATAGTTCTCAGGGTTTTTATCAGTTTTTATCGTTAACTCAGTTTCCCTGGGTCTTTTCCCGTGTGTTATGAATAAATTTTCTTTTTTTGGTATCGGTACTGGTTTTATTTTGTTGTATTTATCCGCGACACCTTAAAGGCCGGTCCGTGAAAATATTGTCGGACATAAACCGGTCTTAGGCATAAAAAAAGGTTGGGGACCGCTGGTATATGGTAGATCCTAATAGCGTGCTAGCTGTTGTCAATAAGCGTGAAACTTTAGGCCTGATAGTAATATGATAATACTTGAATACTACAGCATGTTAGCGTTGAACTACCTCACATTTTTTATATTCTGGAACAAACAATCATTTTCCAGGCTTTCTGAAGAGAGAGGGCATTGGCTGCTTTTTCATTCATTTTAGTCACTGAACCTGACCATTTTCAGAAGAAAGTTTTTTTGGGGGGGGTTAGGCACTGTGTTACTAGCAGCCTGTTGCAAAACTAAACAGCCAGTTCCCATTTCTTTAGTTGATTCTGGCACATTTTGACAGATATAAAAGTTTTGCACCAACAAGGTGTCTCCCAGGGGACTGTTAGCCAAAAACTTGACAAATCTGAGCACTGTGTGCAGTGTGTGCTTAAAAATGTAATGAAGTGAGGTGAAAAAAGTGGCAGGCACGTATCTACATGAGATGAACAGTATCTGAAAGCCATGTCTCAGGTCTTAGTTGAAGGGTGGCTGTCAAGAAACTATTCTTAAGAGATGAAAACAAGCAGAAAAGACTTGGTTATGCCAAATTACACAAGAACTGGACTGATATGAGCTGCAACAGGTCTAATGGAGTGATTATTATTTAATCATCAGTATTTATAGAGGAGGTCAGGAGAGAACAACAACAGTGAGTGTCTGCATTTCAGCCAATATTATCAATATTACCATCAGCATGTCACTGATCCTAAAAACACTACCTCCGATGTAAAAGCATAGCTGGATAGAAAAAAGACACAATATAAGTCACGGATCTGCCTCTTCAGAGCCTGGACCTCAAGCAGAGCGGGATCATCTTGACAGAGAACAGAATAAAGGGCAGCCAACATCCAAAGAAGAGCTTCAAATGTCCTTGAAGCAGCTGGAGAACTATTCCTGAAGACTACTTAAAGAAAATATTAAAAGAAAGTTTATCTGACTTAGGTTGCGTTAAAGAAGAAAATGATGGTGATAGCAAATACATTTCTCGTTAGAATTGTACAAACTCTCTATGTATGTTTATACATGTATCAATAAATTTACCAATTTTGTTTTTCCTATCGAAATATACAAAACAAGAGGTGGCTCAAGGGTTTCGCACAATATTGTTCATGGACATTTGAGCCCAACGAAAGCAGATGCTGGCACGAAAATAGCTTAATTATCTTTCTCCAAATCCAGTGATCTTCATTTATAATAGACTAAGCTGCATCATCTCCTCATTAGCCTGCTAACTGGGATTTTTAATGCAGCGAGGTTGTTGGGTTTTTTTATGTCTTAACAAAAAGAGAGTCTGGTTGCAGAAATAAATTTAATGTCAAGTAAAATGACAACAGGGCATGTTTACAACACTGAGACAAGTCTTTACTTCTCATTCTTGTAAGAAGTTTTTTCTTCTACAACAACAGAGTAGACCAAATGTCTAATGGAACATGTTTTGCAAAGCATAACATTTTAGTAGAGTCTCTAGGTAACTCAGAAAAGAGGGAATCAATCAACAGCATCTGTTCAACACATCGCTGTTCACAGCGTGTGAAATTCATTTGGTGTATTTGTCAAGGCAGTGCAGTTGATCACTGCTGTGCATGAAAAGGTTTCAGGTCTTTTGATTGCCCATGAAATCAACTGTAGAGGCAAAGGTACACACACATTCATCTAGCTTGACACCAATGATTTCGACCTGTTTTGAATTATTATGTTTCTCTGAATCAAACATTCACAGTAAGCAAGAATGTACAGTATTATACACAGAATTATAAGTCATACGTTCAATTTCTAGATATAGACTTTGTCAGTACTTACAAAAACATACAATAAATGTAGACATTTTTACAAAGAAATGTTTGTATTCGCTCATCCATCTATATTTGTGTCATTTTTCTGCAATATAAATATATATTTTTAGCTTTTTAAAACTTCATCAGAGTGTCAATATTGTGGGTTTATTGCAAGTTCCCATTTTTGCTGATATAATTAAGAAAAAAAATCTCTGCTATCATTTAATTGCACCAAGAAAAAAACATAATCTATACTTCTTCTTTTTTTTTACATCGAATGACCGAGTGTTGATTCAAACACAGTTCAAAGTGGAAAAAAAGCTCAGGGAAGTCAGGTTTAAACTCAGCTACAAGCAGCTCTGATCTAATTTTCTTGCTATTGAAAAAGCCGTGTCCTATCCTCCCTCCTGTGCTGGCAGCTCGGGTAACCTTTAAGGAATGCAGAATATGGTGCCAGAATTATTTTGGGCTGAGATTCAGATGTTAAAATAGCAAAAAAGGTTGCAGGGTAGATTACCAAGGAGAACACAGGCAGTTGTGCTGTCGACCTACATGTAGCTGTTGTACAGAGAGGCCATGAAAAGCAACGTTTCCAACCAAGGCAAGTGTCAACCAACAATGTGTGCTTACAAATTGATTACAGATAAATGTAGGCGATATATATTCATAAGTGTGTGGATTTATGGCACTGTATAGCTTTATTTGCAAGATAAACATGTTGACAGAGTACTTGTGAAGTAGTATTCACTGTATACTGCATTGCCTGACGGATTATGATACTTTCTTCTTTTATTAATTGGCCCACAAATCCAGATGAACCACATCTGAAAGGCTAAAGAGGGAAGTGTAATTCATAAAACCACCAAGAAGAGGCCCAGAGGAGGTAAAAAGCCATTTTTATTTGCCCTCCATGTTAACCGCGGGCACTTTCCCATACATAGCATCTTTAATTACACAGAAGTGGAGCAGGAAGGACAGGTTAGCCTAAGGGGAGAGGGTATGAAAGCAGTGCTGCAGCTCAACATGCGCACCAGGGAAATCAGTTCTCTGCCCCTGAGTGTCGGAGGCAGGAAAGGGTTGTGCTTATAGATCAATGACGAGAAAGAAGAGCCTCCAGGTACGCGAGGCGCATGTTGTACCTGTGCAAAGACACCATTTAGCTCACACAATCGTATGCATGAAGCTTACACTGCGTTAGATGCAGCATTTCCTTCATGCACACGTGTTCTGTGTGACACACAAGAATGCACATGCAGGGATGGATAGAGGCAACATGATGTTTGAGTAAACCTCCATATGTCACAGCAGCGAAACAAAAGGTCACTAAAACAGATTTGGTCTCAATGACTCATCCCTGTGGACACGACAAAAAGTCTCAAAACCCTGAGAGCAACATTATGTCTCCACACGCGGCGAGAATGCAAATAAGAAGCTCGGCTGCTGTTAGTTTCTTTTCGATAACAATGCCTACACATCGCTTGTACGTCCACAGCCTCAAGCACAGTCACACACCTGCCTAAATGGATGCTAATGCATACAGTTTGCATAGTACGAGTCTCTCTAGAGCTCAGTGTGTAAATTGTAAATGCACAGGTTAGACTTGCCTGCAGCAAATGAAAAGTGGTTTATAGGCATTGAATGCCATTTTTCTGCATCTCTGGAAATAAATAAATCTATCCAGTGCTGCTATATAGATACAATAATGAGAGCATCATAAGGTCAGCTTACAATCACATGATCCTTTGCTATTGTGGAATGTGTTAATTGTCATAATTGCAGTCTGTATTTAAAGGCTACAGACCTGTATATGAAACCTGCTAATTAACGATCCTTGCTATAATCCCACGCTGCACTTAGCAGTCGTTTCTCGGTGTTTCCTAAGATGATGCGTACATTTCAATTAGGAGTTAGTTGGTATTCATGGGCAATGCAGATGAACCCTGAAACTCTTTGAGCATCTTTCTTAAAGTTTGAAGTATAGTAAAGGGCAAAGTGCAGTAAAACATACGCTTTTATTGAGTTCTCAGTTTTTATCGCGGTTCAAATTTCAGGGCAGCGACCACTTCTTTTCTTAATGAAAGGTTGTAAAAGCAGAAGTGGAGAATTCAGACATGCCCAGAGGCCTCAGCTGCCTGGCGAGCCCTGAGGGGGCAGAAGGCCGGTATGAAACCCCCCCAGCTTCAGAGCTTCAGAGACTGATGTGGACAAAAAAAGGGACCAGTAACCATCTGGATGAGGTTCATCCCGGGATCTACATCGGAGACATGTGAGAGTGACATGTTACTGAAATGATTCACTATGGCTAATGTGTTTAAATATAATTCCACCGGCTTTTGTAATAAAGTAATTAAGTATTCTCTTAATTGGGCTCAGATTGTGAGTGCATGTGTAATTAAAGGCACCATTATGATTTTTACATTATTGAAATTGATCTTTTTTTTTTTATAAAAGCACCTGGTTATCACACTAATGCGCAAAACATTAACAAGCTTTCATCACAACTGTATACACAGTCATCCAAGTGCTAATGCCCATGTGAATAGTGTGTCGTAGCCTTATGCTAACATGCTAACATCCAACTTTACAATAATAAAAGTAGCTGTTTTATGAATACTGTTTTGTAGCATACTGTCTATTTTTTATTTAGATACATGGGCAGTTTTTTGCCTTCATCATAGAATATTTAGGTACACCTGCTAATTGTTAGCAATTATCTAATCAGCCAATCAAGTGATAGCAACTTAGTGCATTTAGGCATACAGACATAGTCAACAAGACCTGCTAAAGTTCAAGGTGACCATCATAATGGAGATGAAAAGTGATTTAAGTGACTTTGAACATAGCATAGGACATGCCAGATGGGCTGGTCTTGTGATTACAGTACCGTCTCTAGTTTTGACAGATAATGATCCAAAAAAGAGAGAAAATATCCTGTGAGCGGCAGTTCGTAGGGAGAAAACGTCTTGTTGATCCAAAGAGTTAGAATATAGAATATAATGGCAAGAGCGCTTTGAGCTGATAACAAGGTAACAGTAGCTCATTACAACTAAGGTATGCAGAAGAGCATCTCTGAACACATGACATGTGGAACCCTGAAGGACCACAGCAGCAGAAGACCACACTGGGTGACACTCATGTCTGCTATAAACAGGAAAGCAACCCTTCACACAGACTCACCGATATTGCCTGGTGTGATGAGCATCAATTTCTGCTGCAACATTTGGCTGGTGGGGTCAGAATTGGACATAAAAATCATTAGAAGCATAGATCCATCCTGCCTCGCATCAAAAGTTCAGGTTGTTGGTGGAAGTGTAATGTTATGTCTCCTTAAATACCAAATGAGAATTATTTAAACACCACAGGCTACCTGAGTATTGTTGTTGACCGTGTCCACCCCTTTATGACCACAGTGTACCCATGTTCTGATGGCTGCTTCCAGCAGTTCCCTGCACTCGGATGACCTCCACAGTCACCGGATCTTGATCCAATAGGCCACCTTTGGGATATAGTGACACATAAGATTCACATCACAACATACTCTTTACTTTTCATATCATGCATGAAGGGATCTTGATTAAACTCTAAGAAGGATAAGGTAGGGCATTTGACAGATATATTATATGCATTACTATATGTGTAACCACAGAGGAAAAAAAATACCCCCTTAAAGGGCAAAAAACAGGGACTGCGTCTTGTGCACTGCACTGTGCAGTCTCTCTGTATCATGCATAATAAAATGTAATATTATAACAATTCAGTTAATTAACCTAATGATCTACATTTTCCCCCACTGCCTGCCATCTTCCTTCTTCTCCTCGAGTTAGCTTTCTTTGCATTATCCTCATCATTTGTTTCGTTTGATTGCAGAGATAATTGTAATTTTTCCCTTTAGGTACGCAGCCAAAGACAAAAGGACTCTCCAGGCTCATCGCATCACCCACGTGCTTAATGCAGCTGATGGGAAGTTCAATGTGAACACAGGGCCCAGCTTCTACCGAGACACCGCAATCACTTATCATGGAGTCGAAGCTTTTGACATGCCATCCTTTGACTTGAGTCCCTTCTTTTACCCAGCGGCCAATTTCATCAAGAGCGCTTTGAGCTCTCCCACAGGTGAGGCGCTCTCACAGCGCTCAAGGTATCCTTCATCGTTTTCACACATTAACTCGGGGAAGACGAGCCAAGGCAGAGAAACATTTGTCAGTCAATTCCCATTTACAGCAGACCCCAGTTGTATCAGTCATTAAAATGCAAATCAAACACTAAACATAATATCAAGCTAATATCTTTCCCCCATGGTAATCTTCTCATAAGCTCAAACCTCGGCCAGGAAAATTGGTTTTAAATGGATTGCCCTGGCAATTTGTAAGCAACACTTTTATTGGACATGGAAATTACACAATTATGTTTGTGGCCTGTGCTTTCCTGGCCCGTTATGCAAAGTGAAGTCAGTATCTGACATGACAGTAATAAGATGAGGCCTCCTTCTTCACATGCTGGCTGATCGGGGGCTCCAGTGTGTGGCGGGGCCTACAGTAATCCCCGGCAGAAATACACAGAAGCCAAGACAGTTCAATTACGCGCTCCTCTGCGCCCTAATCCTCAGGCCTGATAAGGAACCAGGGATTACCGTGTGTAGAAACATTTGTTGCAACATTGTTGAAAACTTTTAGTCTGGAGTAAGAAGTACTCCTCCCTGTGATGTGCACGGTTTTTAATCCACAGAGGAGTTACAAATTAGATATTTAGAACAAACTTTACAACAGTAATCCACTGATTGCTGTAGGCTGGTGGGCTGCTGCGTTCTGAAATGATCCACAGGAAGTCTGATTTTCTGCCTTCTGACTGGCAGGTAAAGTCTTCGTCCACTGTGCAATGGGCCTCAGCCGCTCATCCACCTTGGTTCTGGCTTACCTGATGATCCATGAGAACATGACTCTGGTGGACGCCATCAAAGCTGTGGGCGCCAACAGGAACATTTCTCCCAATAACGGGTTCTTGGAGCAGCTCCGAGCACTGGACACAAAGCTCCACTGCCAGGGATTATCCAGGAGCTTCAACGGGCGGACGTAAAAATAAAATCCTTCGGTCCATAAATTTAGATAATATTTTTGACCCCTGTCCATATCTGAGTGTTAAAAAGCTATTACAGTGATAATGTTTTTGTAATGAACAGGTACTTCAGCGGTATTTAAAGGGCTTCAAGGTAAGAAAATTTAATAACCTGATGAAGAGTGATTTTTTTAAACATTAACAATTAAGTTATATGAACAAAACGTGCTTAAATTATCAGCTCAAAATATCCAAAAGTATGACACAAAAGGACGACTGTGAGGTTTTAAGGTTACAAAATCAGAATTAACACAAAACACAAAGAAGATTACATTTGTGTTTAAATGTTGAAATTCTTCCGCATCTGTGCCTGTGTCTCCTGTCTGCAGTCAAAGCCTTTAAAAAGCTTCAAAACAGTTACATTTGTGTTTGAGAAACTACAGAAAAGTTACTGCACTCAGTGAGTTATACAGTCACAGATTACACTACAATGTTTACTTGACAGTGAGTCATACAAATGCTACAGTTCTTGCCCTTTAACGAATACAGTCAAATACAGCCCTTTGACTGAGCCATCGCAGCACTTTCATTCTTTTCTTTTTCAGCCGTTTGAATGTAGATTTGCTCTTGTGCTTGGGATCATTGTCCGCTCTCAGCCAACCTTTAGCCATCAGACAGATGGTCTCATATTTGATTTTAGAATAATTTGGTAGAGGAGTTCAAGCTCAGCTTAATGACTGAAAGGTGTACATGTCCCGAGGCTGCAAGACAAGCCCAAATTATCAGCCCTCCACCACTGTGCTTCACAATAGATATGAAGTTTTGTGCTGATATGCTGTGTTCAGTTTTCTGCTGCAGTGGATTATGGACAAACATCACCAGACATTGTTCCACAGGTTTCCAGACAGAAAAGAGGTTTTCTGCTGACAGCCTTTCTAAACACTTTTCTTCAAAATTTGCCTTCATGAAGTTTAACATTTACTTTCCTAACTGAGCCCTGTGGAGTCTGAGACGTAAATCTTGAGTTTCCTGAGGCTTCCCCGAGCATTGTACCGAATTTACTGAGAAGACTGTGGCATTGTGTTAACACAAGCCTGTCAAAGCCCTGCTTTTACAGAGGCACTTGCACTGCTGATGATCAGTTAATCAAATCCATTTGATTAGCAGCACCTGGCTGCTGCCCTAACCTCGTAATTCCTATGAAAACAGTCAGTGTGTACAGAGTTTTGTAAATAGTTTCTTCTTTCTTCTTTTTTTTCTGCCCGTCCAATATTTACTACTGCACCTGTAAAACATCTATTATTTTGTTTAGTCTATATAATATGGAATGCACACACAGAAACGTGAGGAATTTATTTTGTATTTTCATGAACTTTCTTTAAAACTTAACTCAGTTTTCTAATGAAGTTCATGAAATATGATGGAGAGTTTAAAAGCAGCTGCTAAATGTACGCTTTCCTAAAGATTGTCTTGTCAACAGCACAGTGTGGTTCGCTTCTCTCAGCAGTTTAAATTATCCTTAACATACTGACTCAGACCTTCACTCCAGAAATTCAACTCTCAGTGTAGCTTATATAATCTTTGTGTCCTTCATAATGACAGGAGCAACCTATGCAATCAAAGACGGGACTTTAATAGTTTGTTGACGACAACGTCAGGCAAAATAGGAAGTCATTCACTTATTCTCGTCAGATGATTTAAAATAAAGAGACACAGCAACACCATCTGCAATAGCTCAAACTGTGGTTTGAGCTCAAACTGTGGTTTGAGCTCATTCAGCGTGGCAACCTGACATTAATTCCCCACCATGTTTTGGATCACTTGCACTATTACAACCATTAAAACTGCAACGGCTCAGTAGTCGAATTTATCACAGCACAAGCAGCCTGGCTTCTGTCACAGTCATCTGAGGAATAAATAGTCCACACTGCTTGTGCCCAGTCTCTGGTATGTTCAGCTGTCTCGTTCCAGTGGGGCTCAGCCTCGAAACAACACTGATATCCAGCTCAGATGTAAAACAGCGCGAGCCGCACCAGTAAGGTTAGTATTCGCTGTTGGTTTGTCTCAAAAGCCTGCAGCAAGAAACACCAGCAGGACAGCAGTAATAATCAACATTTGCATCCTGGAACATAAAGTATCTTGCAAAGTTATTTATCTATGTACTGAGTTGAGTGAAAGTGATAATTATATAAAAACACTGAGGTGAGAGAGATACAGATATGACCTCAAAGGAGGAGCCAAAGTATCAGACACCACCCACCTGCGATCTGCTCAGCCTTCTGTTGAAGAACAGACGCCCCACTGGAGCTGTCAACGAGGTTTGGCCCAACCTCTACATCGGAGATGCGTAAGTGACATTCTCACTTTGGGGGCCCCTAACTGCAATATGGTGATCTGATTGTGAAACTGTCGCTGCAAACAAGTGTATTTGGCCAACTGATGGGACAAATATAAAATCTGTACATTTGAGTCACCGGTGATGCATTTACACACATATGCTTCCAGAGCTGCACACAGGCGAGAAAAATCGCTAAAAATGACATTTCTCATAGCCTCTCCTGTGTCATTTACAGAGCTGCAGCTCGGGATAAAACCCTGTTAGCGAAACTGGAAATAACACACGTGGTGAATGCTGCAGATGGCCCCCAGCACATTGACACCGGGCCAGGTTTCTACGCAGACGCCAGCATACTGTATCACGGAGTAGAAGCACCAGACTGTAAAGATTTTGACTTGAGCCCTTTCTTCAGTGAGACGGCTGATTTTATTCATGGTGCTCTGAGCCAAAAAGGTACCAGTCTATTTTAGCAACACATGACAAAATAAACACATAAGGATTGAGCTTTAATAATATGTTACAGTCCAACACATCCTAATATAGAAAAATGATGCATCATCAAGCTGAAAAATGATAAATAATAATGATATTTTATGTTTTGTTGCACATATTTAAATGCATGAAAACATAAATAATTGCCTTTGCTTCTGGGTCGTGTGCGGAGACTCCAGCTGCTCTCTATAATCTAAAATAATTTCACAATGTTTTATTATTTTTAACTTTTATTTTAAAAATGCAAGGCTTCTATTTTTCCCCATTGCACAAACATTTAGAAGAACAATAATTTGAAATAAAATCAATTTAAAATGGTAACGAGAGTTAAAGTTGTGAGCAGTTACTACAGGGACACGGAAACACTATTAATGCTATGACAGCACCTGTGTTTGTGCCATCATATGTCATCATTTCTGCTGTGAAAAGAACCTTTTGTGACTGTTACACCGTGAGCTGAGCCCACAGTTGTAATTAATCCCTTTGTTGTTTGTGTTTAACCCAACGAGCCGCAGAATTCGCAGCTTATTTTAGAGTCTGCCTTCTGTCCGTGCAGGGAAGGTGCTCGTCCACTGCGCTCGGGGAATCAGCCGCTCGGCAGCTCTTACGCTGGCCTTCCTCATGATCAAAGAAAGGCTCACACTGGTGGAGGCTGTGGAGGTTGTGTGCCGGCACAGAAACATCCTCCCAAATGTTGGATTTCTGAAACAGCTCCGCGAGCTGGACTCATCCCTATTCACGTAGTAGAGCACATAACGCCAAAAAGGGGACAGTTTCATAGTTGGCATCATCTGTGCAGATGAAATCGTCCTGGTGGCTCCATTTGGGTGGCTTCGGGCACTCGCATCTTAAGTGAATTAAAGCACCATGTAATCCAACTTGGCTTGATGGGATTTTGCTTAGCTTAGTCAAGCGATACATCAGCATTCATAATAGCACACTTAAACACACAACATGCAGAGCACAAAGTAGAACTGACAGACAAATGTTTTGTCAGGTGAGCGATCAGCACAGACAGTCTGCCTGTCAGAAAGGGTTTGTCAACACTAAAATAAAGTTAGCTGAAAGTTAAAAAGACTTCAATCCTGTCATGTTCGGTTCATTTTTGACACAAACGGAACCTCATTGTATTTGAGACAAGACTATTTCAAGCCTTATTTTTTAATCTCTTTGTGTTTTTCACACTACAATTCTCCATTTTACAAACCAGAATCCATCACTGCAGATTTCTGGGTGATTTCTTTTTTTCTCAGTTTTCCATAATTGAAACGTATGAAAGTCAATTAGCCCACTTATGCATGAGCTGTGTAATTGATTGCTTCAAAAGCTCATATTGTAATACAATGCTGTTTATGATTAGACTAAATTTTAAAATAGCTTATTATATAATTTTAATAAAAATGAATGCACAATTACTGCTCACTATGGCGGACTACACAGCTCAAACAGTGCCATACACGTCACAAAAAGTGATGGTTCTTTGCTATTATTGTTATTAATATTAAACTGCTCTTTATTTATTAACAATAGTGTTTTATATTGCAAGATAAACACCCTTCAAAATGACACACATTAACCTGATGAGCCACAGATCTCTGTGCAAGCACTTGGAGAAAGAAACCTCCTTTTTAAGAGGAAGTCATGGACAAAACCAGTTTGTGGAGAGCAGCCATCTGCTGTGACCAGTCAGGATGAGGGAAAAGTAGTAAAATGTAGCAAAAGCATATCCGTAGAGAAAAATACAGTCATGACATTGGTCCTCCCCAGACCTCAACATTATTGAAGCAGTGTGGGATCATCTTGACAGAGAACAGACTAAATAGCAGCCAGAATCCAAAGAAGAGCTTTGAATGTCCTTCAAGAGGCCTGGAGACGATTTGACAAGAAGACTTTCTTAGATTGTTCAGACTGTGTCAAAGACTAAATACCAAATACTTTGACTTTGAAGCTCATTAGAATTCCGTTTTTGCCTTAAATACTATATTTCCATGTATGTTTGCACGTTTCAGTGTGCAAATGTTTCACTGCACGCAGTTCCCATTTTCAATTTTCAAGTTAAAAAAGGAAGGCATGGCTCAAGACTTTTGCACAGTACTATATAACATTCCTTTATATTTCGATAACCCTTGATTAATTAAAAACAAAAAAAGCTGTTGTTTATTGTAGGAACAACAACAGAAGACAAATCATTTTGCAAAAAGTGTGTGTTGTGTTTGGGGTAGCCAGACTTTTCTGTGACCTACAAACTCTGTGGGGGCCAGGGCCACCCTTGGCCACCTCTTATCTCTGCTCCTGATCACTGGCACAAAGTGCTACAGACTTTAGATCTCAACAGACTAGGGCAAATTACAAAAAAAAGCAAATATTTGTGTTATATTAATCTGTATTATATTCAGATTTTAAATCTGAACATCTTCCTCTCCACTTCTTCATACTTGACCTGTTCACCGGTAACGCAAAGCACGCAAGGAGCTAAATGTGCAAAAAACAGCGGCATGGGCCTTTAGGCTCACGTCTTAAGCGCGGCACAATCAAGATCAAGACCCCTGCTGTACTGGAACAACACACAGACAGTGCATGCTTATAAATAAACAACGCTCCACTTACTTATTCACATTTCTCAAAATACTGCGTCCTAACTGCTACAATCCAGTGACGTACAGTTAAAACTGTGATGTGTCTAAAGAGTCTTGATACAAGATGACAAAAATATGCCAGCGTGCTTTCTGAGCATGTATACAGATTCAGGTCAGACTTTGAAAAGAGATGAAACACTGAAGCCATCTTAATAAGAGATGCTCTCCAGAGCTCGCTGGGAGAGAGATGCTGTCAAAATAAAAGGAATTGGATATCACAGGTTTAATGATTTCACTGTCAGAATGAATGATGGCAGAGTAGGAAGATATGAGGGAAAAATAAAGGAGTTTGATGGTGTGAAAACTCTGTCTGACATGTTAGCAGCTTCATCTAGCCATCCTGCAATACAGCCATCATCACACTCTCACTTTGGGGGCTTGCATTTAGATCACTGAATGGACTGTGCATATCATATAATGGGGAATCAAAGACGTGTGCCATCTTGCGAAAAACCTCATCTGTCTAACAGTCTGACACATTTCAGTTCTCTTTTGGCCCCCGAGAGGCTCCAGAAGATGCTGAACATCCTTAACGGGTGTTGTGAGGCTGTGCTTACACAGCTTCTCCCAGCGTCTGAAGATATGCAGAAAGGCTAAGAGAGACTGACACAATTTCAAGGACTCGCTCATACGGTTGAGCAAAAGCTCAGAGTGCCCTGTTTACTCCAGTGAATATGGGTATCCTTTGGCAAGTGCAAAGTTTGGATAAGCACAGCTTCCTGCCAGCAGCAGAGATTAAAGTTGTGTGTTCAGAAGTGGATGGCAGGGACTGGCTGGGTGGAAGTTTTCCCTACAGGCAGAGAACGTGGCAGCTAAGGTCAGGGGCCCGCCACATCACAGCCCTAAAAATATCCTCTGCATTTGATGCCCGTCACAGAGCGGTTATACAATCTGTGCCCTGACTTGAGCCTGCCAGAACTAAAACCTTACCATGTTCTGCCTTCAAGGGCTGCTTCACAACCAGCTGCCAGAATGATGAAAACCGAATTCCCGGGAAGAAAAACGAAGGACTTCAATCTCCGGGTGAGTGCTGCTGAAGATGCATGTGAAAAACAAAAAAAGCAAAAACTGTGCTTTTTTATGACAGTAGTTTGAGGGGTGGAGGAATATAAGAAAAAATAAAAAAAGCAAATGTGGCATTTCTTTTTCTCCTTAAGCAAATAAATCATGTGTGAGAGGAAGCCACGGTGAGAAAATGGCTTCTCGCGAGTCGAAGACTGGCACAAAGATAAATGTTACTCGGGCAGCTGAGGAATCCAGTCCAGTGGATGATTATTCCACACCTGGGGGCTATGAGTTGGAGAAAATCCTCAACCGAGGGAGTGTGGCTTACACTCATGTCAACGAGGTTTGGCCTAATGTCTTTATTGGGGATGAGTAAGTAAGAAAAAGTTTTTCTAAAAGCATAAAATGTCTAAACTGAATAAAAATAACAAGATTAAAATGATACTGACACTGGCTTCTTGTAGGGACACTGCAAAGGACAAGTACACACTGAAGAAGCTGGGAATTACGCACATCCTGAATGCAGCAGAGGGGACGTGGAACAACGTGGACACTGGAGCTGGCTACTACAGTGACATGGACATTGTATACTATGGTGTAGTAGCAGAAGACGTCGCAACCTTTGACCTCAGTCAGTATTTCTTCTCCGCTGCCCAGTTTATTGAGAAGACACTGAGCAATCCTCAGAGTAAGACAGCTGCACAGGAAAAAACTAATATTTTGGCTGAAAATTGCCTAAAACATGCCGTGAATCTGTTCTCCGATTCGTCTGCAGATAAACTGCTGGTGCACTGCGTGATGGGAAGGAGTCGGTCCGCCACACTTTTCCTCGCCTATCTCATGATCTGTGAGAACATGACGGTGGTCGACGCCATAGAGCACGTAAAAAAACGCAGGCGTATCATCCCTAACTGGGGCTTTTTGAAGCAGCTGCGAGAGCTGGATCAGCACCTCTTGGAGAAAAGGGGGGAATCTGCAGGGGAAAGCTGATTGTGTGGCTGATCAGTCTGAGACTAAAGTCAGCGGAGACTAAGTCAAATCCCAGCCATTAAGACTTCGTCATGCTAGGAGTTACAGCCATGTGAAAAAAATAAAGTCCTATTAAAACTAAGTACAGCTTTACTGCTTCCATAGGAATAAAAGTAAAGTCAGGGGTAAGTAGCAACCAGGTGCTGCTAATCATCAGCAATTTGAGCACCTCTATAAAAACAGAAGTATGGGCGGTTTGTTGGTCTGGAGGCATTCAGCTGTGCGTTAACACAATGCCAAGGAGGAACGACATCAGCAACTGTTGCTGCCCATCAATCTCAGAACAGTTATGAGGCTCTTTTCCATGCAACCTAAGAGTCCATCATTGTACAGTGAGAAGTATTGTTCACAACATCTTCCTGGGAGCTGATGTCCTGGTAAATTCACAGAGATGTCAGAGAAATTGCAAACAAAAACCTCGAAGAGCTAGATCTCAGACTCTGCAGGAATCCATTAGCATGTTAAATGTCAAAGGTCTTGACAGTTTAGTTAGAAAAAGACTAAAACTTTCTAAAAACACTGGAACAGACAAGAGCAAAGTGGGGATGTTTGGTCATAATGCACAGAAACCTATTTGGAAAAAACCAAACACAGCATATCAGCACAAACACCTCATGTTAAATGTGAAGCACGGCGGTGGAGAGGTCATGATTTGGGCTGTTTCTGTAGCCACAGGACCGGGACACCTTGCAACCATTGATTCAACTATGTATGAACTGCGTATATCAAAATGTTCTCAAGTCAAATATGAGGCCATCAGGTCAGCCACTAAAGCTTGGCCCAAAATGTATCATGCAATAGGGCAATGATCCAGAACACAGCAGCAAGTCTCCAAAAGAATGGCTAAGAAGGAAAATAATTAAGGTGTTGCAATGGTCAAGTCAAAGTCCAGACCTCAACCTGATTGAAATGCTGTGACGGGAGTTTAAGACAGCTGCAAACCTCAGTGAACTGAAGAACAGTGGGCCAAAAGTCCCTCACAAAGATGTGAGCGACTGATAAAGTCAAATAGAGAATGATTACGTCACGTTATTGCTGCTGAAGGTGGTTGTACAAGCAAATGAATCACGGGGTGCACTTGAGTTTTTCACATGACTATATATCAGGGACAGTCTCAAACCAAACTGCAAATCATAGTGAGAAATCCAAGTTGGCTCTCAGATCACTGAATAAATGTCCTACTCGAGGATCAGGTCTATTAAAGCCCGACTCATAAGAATTTTGAGTGCAAATCAAGTTAAGCCTCAGCCCCATCCTAGCAAATCTCCAGGAAAAAACACCTGCCTGGATTATCACAACCCTTCAAAATCTACCGCTGGGTTCTGCGACACGCATGTTTTGAAATTAAAAACGGAACAGTGAAGTACATGGTCAATCATAATTTATTCTTATGCTAAAATGTACAGCATTTTAAGTGACTGACAAAAAGGAGAAAAGTCATAAATACAAGAATGTCATTCTGTCCGATTTGTGTGCACATAGCCAGGTATTTCCCCCCGTTCTTACCAGCAACTCTGTACAGGTAGAAAGATTACAAAAGAGCAATATAAACAAAAACACAAGTACAAGTTGCGTTTTACATGCAATCCATTAGCTTAGTTTGGTCTATTCACAGGATCTATTCTTCTACACTTCGGTAAAATATAAATCCAACATTTTATAAAGATAGAAAACAAATCTACAGATGGAATGAAAACGTAGCTTTAAAGGCATTATGTAAAATATCGACTTTGGACTAAATTTATATTTTCTTTATTGTTATTCATCATTATAATCATTTAGTTCTTTTTTTTTTTTAAATTCTTCCACACTTCTGGACATTTCGAAATGTTTTAGAATTTTTCAGGGTAAAAACACTGAGATATGCTTTGTTACTTTGACAGAAATCAGTCTGCTTTATTAAACAGAAAGCTGCCTCAAGGAGATCTGTTACAAAAGACTTCAGAATTATACATACATAGCAATAAAACCTCTCAAACCAAACAGAAAACAAGACTAAGTTTACATATTTTTTTTTACATTATTAGAATTAACAAAATATAGTTTTTCATCTTTCTCCCCGTAGAGGGAAACCTAGTAAAGGCCAGATATTTTTAAAATGGCTTGCTATTAAGCACAACACTTGTACAGTACTACTCAATGCACTGTCACTAACAGAGACTGAAGCATGCTAGTTGTCACTTTACAAAATAAGTACAATAATTTAAATATACAAAGGCATGAGTATAGTACAAACTAACTGTCAGCACTGTTAGACAGATACACTGAACAGGTTCAAACAGCCACTATCTCCACCTGTAGCAGGCACGTTAAATGGCTTCATTTGAGGCTGCTACACAAGACCACTGATGAAATCTCTACCTGTGAGCTCTGAACCCGCCTGGTCTAAAGACACATCAGAGACACTAACACTAATTAAATAGATTTTCATCATAATGATGTAAGGCTTCCCATCTGGAGGAACAAAAAATACTTTTCAAACATTAACTTCAAAGTTTACTCACTGATGAAATTTTTTGCATTCTTTCCAAGTGCTGCTGCTTCTGCTGGTTTTTTTAAAAATAAAAAAAAAACAAAAAAAAAAAAAAAAAAAAAAAAAAGGAAAAATGAAGACATACACACACACACACACAAAAAGAAATAAAGAAAAAAGGGAAAAGGCCAAATCAGTGCATCTTTTAACAGCAAAATGCACACGAGGAGAAGCAGCTCAGTCCTGCGGACAGTTACCGCCTGATGAAAGGCCCTTTCAGGGACTGCTTGGATATGCCTGTGTCCATGTAGCCATGGTGCCCAGCTGGAGTGTACACCATGTTGCCATGTGGTGGAGCCTGCATGGGCTGCTGGGGGTATGGCTGTGTTCCCATCATGCCCATCTGCATAGAGTACTGGGGTGACTGGTTCATATAGGCATGGTTGCCATGGTAGCCACTGTTCATCATGGGCTGGCTCATGCTGTAGCCGTTCATGGCGTTGAGGGAGGGCATGTTCATGGAGTTGACGTTGTAGGCTGGTGCCGGCATGATGTTCATGCTCATGTTCATGCGTGGCATGGCGGCCAGCGTCCTGGATGGCGCCTGCATGGCGACAGCCTGTGGCGGCCGGGGGTACATCTGCTGCTGGTGGTGCGACAGCGAGGCCGACTTGGAGCGTGCAGAGATGTGATTTTTGGAGGCCATCTGAGGCTGGATCCGCTGCGAGTGCGGGATGCCCATGTTGCGCTGTAGCATCATGGGTGGCGGTGAGCTGAGATTCGGGGACGGGGTCACGGTGGCCTGCACCTGTGGGTTGGGGACTCGATGTGGCGTCTGGGACAAGGATACCAGGCTAGAGTGCTGCGATGATAATGAGGGGGTGTTGGCGTATGATGTGATGGGGTGTGAGGCCGAGTGGTTGAAAGGCAGCGAGTGAGGGTGCTCTATGAATGTGTTGGTAAATTGTTGCAATTTGGCGAGACTAAGGCCAGAGGACTGAGAATAGTGCCCGCTGCCATACTCCCCTTGGTGGTTGATCCTCTCATAGAGGGTAAAGTTTGGGTTGCCAGATTCAGGGATGTCTGCCAGCTGCATGGTGGTGGCGAAATTGGTGGGTATGGCGCACTGAGTCATAGACTGCTGCTGGCTGTGCTGACCGTGCTGATTGTGAAGGCTATGCTGAGCATGCGGATTGTGCTGGCTGAGCTGATTGTGCTGCAGGTGATGATTGTGGTGGTGGCTATGCTGGTTGTGGGGATTGTGTTGAGTGTGCTGGGTAAGCTGATTGTGTGGACCGTGCTGATTGTGTTGGGTGTGCTGATTGTGTGGGCCGTGCCTGCTGTGGGAGGTGTGTTGATTGTGTTGGCTGCGCTGGCTGTGTTGACTGTGCTGGTTGTGCTGGCTGTTGCTCGGAGGCCTCTCAACCACGACGCAGCCCTGCGGTGACTTGACGTTGCAGTGCGGCGGTGAGCTCAGGCTGTTCTGCTGGATCATCCCGCAGCTGCCGGGGTTAACGGCAGCCATTTGTTGGCTCACGGCACAGCTGCTCTGGGGCAGGCCGCTAGGGGGGATGCTGCCGTACGAGCAGCTGTTCTGGCCCATGGTGGAGTCGTAGCTGCTGGGGTTCTCGTAGTTCTCTGTCGTACTCTCAATGCTGCCCAGATCGCTGAAGCCACTGTCCACCACCTGCTGCGAGTGATCCGACACCGACGGTACATCCATCATGGGACTTGTCTCCATATTATGGAGCGACGGCACTGAGATGGCACTGTGGTCAGGGCTGATCTGCGTGTAGCCACTGTCCAGGATGGAGACAGCTGGGCTGTTAACTGAGCGTACTGATTGGCTGGGATGGGAGTGCGCAGAGGAAAGGGGGCTGCTGTGATCTGACTGAGGACAGTCGTCCAGCGAGGTGATCTGGGGGCTCTGGCTCACATGGGCATACGTTTGCAGGTTCCTGCAGGGCTCCTGGCTCTCCACGCAGTCCTGGAAAACATTCTCCCGCTCGGTCTCCTGCGTCAGGGACTGAACAGCTTGGGCTGTCTCTGAGTCAATCTCTGTGCAGACTGGGGGATCCTCCCTCAGCATGGGATTGAGTATTGGCCTCTCTGCAGGCGGAAGAGGCAGGTGGTGTTCTGGACAAGGACTATGCAAACTCTCTTCCTCTGACTCAGAGTCTGCAGGATTATCAGAGTCTACAGCTGCTTTTGAAGTGACTGCTGCTGCTTCAGGTGCCGGTGTTGCTTCTGATGGTTCTGCTGGCGCACTATCCTGGATGCTTTCTGTAGCAGTAGCTGGTTCCGCTTCACTACAGAGTACTGTAGAAACCTGCTGACTCAACTCAGAGTCATTGTCTTCTTTTGCATCTAAAAAAGTTGGCGTGCATTTGGGTAAGTCTTTTGAACTCTCTTCCAGGTCTTCTGTATTATTCTCTGGCCCTGCTGTCTTGCTGTGGCGGTCATCTTCATCATCTGCATCCTGATCCTCTATTTGGGCTCTTTGCTCGCCCTCCTCATTTTCCTCATTCTCATTCTCTAGCGATACAGCACCCTCTGTGCTGTGCACTACATCTTTGGCTGGGGATTTCTGCTCATGTTGGACCTCCTGC